TGCCCTGGAGTGACGAATAGGATATGCTGCATGTGAAAGCGCTTGGTAAGATATGAAGGCCTTTTCTGCCTCAGGGCCTTTGCACAGTCTGTTACGGCTGCCTAGAACGTCCATCCTTCTGCACACACATTTGCATGTGGCAGATCCTTCACATCTTAGAGGTTCGGTCACCTCCTCAGAGAGGCCTTCCCACTTCAACCCTGTTTATTGTCTATCCCAGCACCTCGGCACTGATCATGATTTGTAATCACTTTGTTACTTGTAGTTTTATGTGTTTCTTATCTGTCTCCTTGCAAGACTGCTAACTTTTTGTCCCCATCACTCGCACCTTCATATGCTTTTTCCCATCTTCCCTGTTCCATACACTAGACCAGCGGTCGCCAACCAGTGGTCCGTGGACCACTGATGGTCCGTGAGGTCCGAAAGGTTGGCAACTGCTGCCCTAGACCCTTCCTAAGCCCACAGGCAGCTGGCTATGTCAATAGAATCAAAGAATTTTGAGTAGGAAGGAACCAAATACAGCGAGGGTCAGCCAACTCTGACCCACCATCTGATTTTGTGCATAAAGTATTCCTGGAACATGTATTTTCTGTGGCTGCTTTCTCACTACAGTGGCAGTGTGGAGTCATTGCAACAGAGACAGTATGGCCCATAATCCCAACATATTTACTCTCTGGCCTTTTACAGAAAAGGTCTGCAAACCCCTGAAGCAGACCATCTGGCCCAAATCTACCCACTTTACAGATGAAGTCACTGAGAGACAAGCGTTTACAGACCAGAGCCAGAGTCCCACTGTGAGTCCAGATGCAGGGCTGGAATTCAGTTCTGCAGAATCCCACACCTCGCTTCTCCCACAGATTATACCCTCCTCCTTAGCACCCAGGCCTCCCCAACCAGAGACGGTCACCAGCATCACCAGCTCTGTCCTCATGCTTCAGAAAGGCCCCGCTGTGTATGCGCTCAATCTCCTACTTGCATCTGGGCCCAACGACCTTCCTGGGCTCACTTGCTCTCTTGACCCTGCAAGAAGCCATCTAGGCTTCTCCTTCCCTCCGGAGCCTCTGGTCCCAGCCCACAGGCCTTCTCTTCGAGCGCCATAGCATTGAATGTGTATCCCGCTACTCACCCCAGGCCACCTGGTCACAGGTGGATGCTCCAGCCTGGCTTGCCCCAGAATTCCCAGAGGAGCTTGTATAGAACGCAGATGCCCGGGCCCCCAGACCTGTCCAACCGAAACTCTGGGGGTGAAAACAGGGCCTTGGCGGTTTTCACACACTCCCCCATGATCCTGATGTTAAAACAGCCTAAAGGCCACTTCATTAAGCCATGCGCTCCTCTAGGCTTTAGTCCCTCCAGACAACTTCAGAGCCAGGTCTGTAGCCGGTGGCACAATGTTCTCTTACAAGACCTATACGGAGAATGCAGTCTTTTTCCCCTCGGCATTCTTTACCTGCTCGACTCAAGGCCCTGGAATTCTTTCCCATCTCCAGCTCCTCCCAAAGAAACATCACAAGCCCTACTACTTCTCCCCCTCTGTGTAGACCAGATAAGAAGACTTTTAAATGAGCTGCTGGCAAAGACTTCATGAGCTTCTAAGCTATTGAGGTCAGAGTGACGAAAAGAAGGCAATGTGGGAAGGCGAGAATAGGTACATAGAAAATTCCAGGAGGGGCTGGAATCCTCAGGGTCCAGGGTACTTATCCTGGTGCTGGCCGGCCGTCTTGGTCAGGGCGTGGCTCTGCAGGCGGCACAGCCTTTTTCTCCTCTTGGGCACTCATCAGGGGTCGGCCGCCTGCCTGCGGCTCAGCATCTCACATGCAAGTCAGCAGCCAAGGGGAGTGTGTGATGGAGTCCCAGCCCCAGGGACTGGGAGTTGTGGGCTGTGCTTCAGGGGCACCAAACAGAGAAAAGGCTGGGGGCAGGAGAAGTGTGTGTGTGTGTGTGTGTGTGTGT